AATGCCATCATTGTGAAAACTATATCCAACCAGTTGTGTGAAAATGCCAAGTGAAAATACCATCATTGTGACAATTATATCCTACCAGTGGTGTGAAAATACCATCATTGTGACAATTATACCCTACCAGCAGAGATCACGGTAGACGTTCGCCATTCGCCAATCGCCAATCGCAAATTTTCCAAAGAGGTGGCGAAAAATATGTAAAGGTATTTCGCAGTTATGGCGAATTCCCTTTTTTACGGTTTAGAGTTTTTTTACGGTTTACAACTTCATAAATGTTGAATTTGAACGACTTTTCAGAAGAAAACTTTTTCGGAAAAGTAGATTTCTGGTCACTCAGGACGCGACATATATTAATTTTACACACTATGCTATTTCACAGTAGAACTCTATCAGTATTGTGGCGTGTCATCATGTATCTGTATATCCACTCCGTGGTAGTGGTGTCCTTCAAAAAATGCGGTAATCTTAAACACAAATTCCGTGAGGAATGGGCCCGTGGGAGGCCATGGCTGCTTCACCGGAGTGAGTATTTTATTTCATTTTTAAAAGGAAAACAGTCATTAGAAGTGTTTAATTTTTTTCGGTCAAAATGGCTAATTCATATTTTGGTTGGCGAAAAGTTTTTTGGAAGAATTAGCCACAATGGCTAACAAGTTTTTTCAACTATCGTGATCTCTGCCTACCAGTATCCTTACATTTATCAGATATAAGTTCAAAAGAGTTTAACTGGCTCTTTAGACGATTTGACAGATGTTTTAAACTTCTGGAGTGTTTGTCAACATGAATAGAAGAAGTAAATAGCAAACCCCTGAGGTAGGAACAACTGCAAAAGAAATACAATGTCAATTTCATAAAGAGCTCCCAACATTAAAGGTTGTCCTTGTGTCTTTTTCAAGAGTGTACAAAATTTTAACAACCATACCCCAGGACCATACACAAGCAAGTTTGATTGTTATGATTTGGAGACTCTCTTCAATTATTTTTGCAAAAACTTTCTTAATATGTATTTGTGTTTACAATATAAACTGATAGAATGAAACATATATTAACTCCTCGCTTTGTTTTCTCATATTTGCTTTGATTTTCAAAACTTTATACCTTGAAACTCCAAGATTATAGATGGATGTAAAGCAAAGAATGGGCATAAAATCTTTTCTTCAGAATTAAACTTTTATGTGGCAGATACTGTTCCATTTAATTATTATCATATCATATTAAAGATATTATGATCTTTTGTATGTTTATTAGGATAAAAATACAACATGGCTGCCTTAACATTTACCCAGAATGCCCAAAAACTAATAAGTTGTTTCCTACCAACAGGGCTTGCATTAACGGCGTCCCGTACATGTTAAGGACTCAAAAATAATTTGGAGGACGCAAAAATTGAAAATATTTCCGTTTTTTGGACGCAAAATTTGTTTTGGTCAATACTACAATGTGTTTACAACGATACCTAACAAAAACAAATAATTATGATCTCTCACCTTTATTTGAATTGTAAATAAGGCTCAACATGTTGAATATTTACAAATAATCATGATTCTCTCGAATTTTTTCAACTTTGTTTATTTTTAGATTTGAAACCATGACATGCCACAGTTTTTCCTATTCAGAAACAAATATTAGGTTATTCATGAAATAAAATGTATTCATTGTCGAATGAACGAACATGCATTTATTCAGTCCGTACTTAACGTTTACTTCCGTTTTAAATTCGCGGCAAGAAATCAAAAACTGAAAGGTGTTTTGGTAAAAAATGCTTTTAAAATAAAGTTATACCTCAAAACAGGCTAAAAATAGGGGACACACTTTTTTTCAAAGGACACACTTTTTAAAAAAATTGCGTCCTTGGGACTCACAAATTTTCTAACCTAATGCAAGCGCTGCTACCAAGAAACATCCCTAAATAGTGGCGTAGTGTGGGTATTTTATGAGTGTACGCCACAAATAAGCGAAGCTAATGAGCTTTGAGGGGGGTTTGGAAGGGGAATTTTAAAATGAGATTACATTTGAAGCATTCTAGGGCATTTTAAATACGAACTTTGAGGGGGGCTTGAGGGGGGGTTCTCCCCCCAAGAAGATTTGAAAATGAGATTGCATTTGAAGCATTCTAGGGCGTTTTAAAATACCAAATTTTGACTAATATGGATTAATAAAATGTAAAAATGCAATTCAATGATAAATTAACTTTTCTCTAAATTTTGAGAGTACGCCATGGCATTTTATGCATTAATGATGCTATGCCAGTGTAAAAATATTTGGCCACCTTAAAATATACCTAATATTCCCAAAGACAAATCAGTTGTACACCTTTATAAGGGAATAAGCATGGCAAATGAAATTAGGGTGGCACTTGATAGTATATTTTAAGCAATGGTACTATATAAAATAAACTTGGCAACTTATTTTAAACAAATGAAAAAATAAGGGTGGCAATATATTTAAGCTCAGGCAATAAGCTTAACAGTATATTTTAAACGAGGGAAATCCTAATCTGTTTATTATGCTGATAATAATTTCGTACCATCTGTTGAAAAACTGTTTCTATAAAAAGAGTAATAATGAAGTGATTAAAGATGAGATTATCAGAAAATGTATGTCATGTCATATAGCCTAATACAAGTTAATTAGGAGATGTTGTAATGTTTCATGTTCATGTTGTAATGTACAAGTAATTAGAGCTAAATGAACATTCTAATGTTATTGTTGATCTAATTTTGTCACTCTTCAGTTGACATGGAATAGCTTTTGGCAAAAATTATGATACATCATTTTTATTTCAGCAGCCATTTTGAATAAATACCAGATTTTGAAAAAAGCTGTCAAATTAGAATTCCACATGTGCAACAACACTAACTTAGTGTAACAAGCCAGATACAGAAATTGAAAGAAAGTGTGCTAAATTCAATGCTCAATGCATTGCTCTACCGACTGAGCTATAAAGGCTTAAACCACTATAGCAGGCTGTGGTAGCAACTTGCTATCCAGGGTCGTTACAACTATAACCAGGATATAAGGATTAATGAATTTGAAATTATGATTGCTGTCTAATATAATAAACTAGAATGCCTTTGTATGAAACATCTACGCCAATTTCATTTGACCAATTGAGGAATCATACGAGAAGCTCATTGTTAGCGTATAATCTCATTTTAATTCAGTATTGTAATTTAACTACAGACTCTTCATAAAACAAATAAGGCATTAATAAGCAAAATATCACTTCCTGCCATTTGTTACAGATGCAGACCATCAAACACTAACTGTGGAACATCAAGCACCAACTGTGAAACACTGTCCACAAAAAAGCACAACACAATATGTTACCAATTGTAGTGGTGACATAAAATGAATGCATACATATATTTCACACTAGGATGACTTGAATATAGCCTGACCTTAGGCATAAAACAACATCACAGATTTGAACAGTGCATTTACTCTCCAAAAAGTATTCATGATTATCTAAAATCAATAATAAATAGTAAATAGGCAACAAAGTGGAAATCTGTTCTACAGCATTCTGATACTCATAGCATCTCTCTCTGTTGCATCACAAATGCTCTGATATTTTGAGGTTGAAATGCCGATCAAAAGGGCGGGCCCAAATATTTATGATACTGATTTAAGCGGTGACGTATTGAATAAGGACCAATCAGATAAACCGAACAGGAAATAATTGATTTAAGACATAAATTTGACTAAAATTGAGATAAGAAGCCCTGTTAAACAAACATACCACGGTCAAAGTTTTATCGGATGAATTCCAACTGGACGAAAGAAATCCCATGAATTGTTTTCTAAGTGAGTCACGTTACCTTCCATAGCTATCCAAAAATTTGTTATGTCTTTATAATTCATACATTTCAAATCTCTTTGTTTTATTCATTGATTAAATGCTATATATAGATCTCATGTAATGTAACTGTATGATTTAGATGAAGTAAGACCGGGATATTTAAGTGCTAAAGCTGTTTTTATTCAACATATTTTTTTCATTTTGAGATTCAACTTACCCTAAGCTTAAAGCTAGTCTCAGTTCAAAATACCACCAAAGCTCAAGTTAGAACTACAATCCTGACTGAAATTCAGTTTTACGATGGGATAGACTCACTAGCGATACCATTCTGTGTATTGTGTTGGACTGAGGTGAAGCACCTACCACACCCTTAAATCTCATGTCAATCAACATACGTCATCATGTTTCATGCTTCTGATTGGAGAGCTCGAAAAAGCTAGATTTGAGGATCGCGGAGATCGAAACTTAGTCCACATAAGACCACAGTCTCTCTAGAAGGATAGAGATGGAGAGGGTGTGGCTTACCACAATGGTTCTATAGTATTTGAGTTACTTTCAGGAAGTACAGCCACAGATATAGATAAATGGACTGACAGACAGACTGAAGAAGGGCTTCACTATATTCCCATTGAACTTTGTTAGACTGACAAACAGACAGACTGAAGAAGGATTTTACTATATTCCTATTGAAATTTGTTAGACTGACAAACATGCAGCCTGAAGAGGGGCTTCACTATATTCCTATTGAACTTTGTTAGAATAGAATTTCATTTGCTGGGACTATAATATTATTAAATATATCTTAAGGACCTGTGAGTGAGCTAAGAAATATTTTAGGGACTTAAAAGTCTCATAATTACATGCCAGTTTTATTGGTAATCTAAGTTCTAATAGATTATCCCCCTCTATCTAATAAATTTTATTACAATAATCGCACAATCCTAAGCTGTGATGTTTGCAAAATTGGATTTCAAATGCTTGGCAAAATGTTTACATAATCTCAAAGCATATGTTTATTTAGCACTGACTAAATACCTTCTATATTACAGAGCTAGGGTACATAATACATTGCCACTGTCCCTTTAGAAATATTGATCTCCTTACACTTAGTGTAAAATAACACTGGATCAGGATTTTATTGCTTAAACTTATAATAATATTTTCTGCAAGGGTATTTCTAATACCAACTTACCTTAAAATTGCTCGTGATAAGAAACTGGGTTGGTTTGGTTACTTTGCCGCCATCCGGATGTTCTTTGAACAATACAAGGTGATTGGCTGGTCCTTCACTGTTACCATGGCAACATGCCAAAACAAACATCAAAATAAAGACCTTCATTTCAATGTTTTAATAATCCTGTATCATCTGGAAAATACAAAATAAATTAATGTATTATATTATGTTATGTTATATATATGTTGCATTTAAAAAATATTTCGTTCTGTTGAAGTTGATACCTTTGCATCTTCCATAAGAACTTGTGAAAGGTGCACAGGTATTCAAAGAAAAAGAATGCGACTTATAATGTTAAATAAAGTAGACATTTGGGAATGTTCTTTTAATATATATTATTGTATTGAATAAAACATGATAAATAAAAAAATGAATGCGATATTTGTTTTATTATTCACCGTTAATATTCCTCACAAAATGTTCACATTTTATTTAGAACCGAAACAAAACTGCAGCTTACGCATTCAAAAATGTAAAAAAAGACATGATCATATGCGAAAATTAGGCAAATTTGTATAGAGTTTGGTAATACTGAATAATTTAATAAGATTTAGACAAAAAAGTTTAGCAACTCAATAATGTTTGCCAAAATTCACAAATGTTGACAAAATTGGCAATTTGATTAATACTTTGGTACAACACCCACGTGTCCAAAGTAATTAATACATTTGATTCTTGTAAATGTATCAAAGACTGGTTCTATGCTTCTTTTGGTACAAAACAAAGGAATCTAAGATGAATGTAAAAAACTAATACTGCCGTAAAAATTGTGTCCTCTATGAGCCACCGTACCTTAAAAATCAAAGCGAAATTGCAAGAATCGGATTCTACAGCTAAATTCTTACCGAAATCTTCCATGTAGCTGATGCTCGCATAATTACATATATTCCTCTAATAACTATTCTATTATTTCACCATTTCATTTTGCCCAGTTTGGTTTTGAATTTGTAAATAATGTGAATTTATCCTAATTCATTTCTCTATGAGAGTTTAGCAGACCGCGCCGAGGCTACTATTTTGGCTGTTCAATTTTATTGATTCCCGCCCCTTTATTCTTATCTATCTTATTAGTTAATACCTTATCAGAAAGTTTTAATCTAAGTGCTTTAGTCAATAAAATAGATAAAATTGTACAAAATTGTAATCTTCAAATACAGAGAGTTTTACCCGTTTTTGAATTTTCGTATGATTTCATCCAATTATAAAACAGGGAGAAAGACCGAACAATTAAATAGCAAATTAACTGGCTGTCATTCGAAGTTTGTAAACACAGTGTGCACATGTTACGGAAGCTGTCGTAGAAATTTACAAAATTCTTTGGAATAAGAGACGGATCTACTTCAAATGTTGATGGCCTTGTATACTTAAGGATACTTTTTTCATGCTGCAGCCATGGGGAGGCATTGTCATATTCTAATAACAGTCCTATGCCTGATTTGGAGCGGGGGCATCGCTCAAGTTTTTGGGACATCCAGAAAAAGCGTCTGTACCCAACCAACTTCTCGGGAAACTCTCCAAGTAAAAACTTCCAGTATTGAACTTAAGGAATTCCATATAAGAAGCAACATAAAGGTAGATAATTTTTTGTCTAAATAAGCAAGGACTTTAGAGAAATAGTTCAGAAATAAAATGTGAAGTTTTTTTCAGGTACGGAGGCCCATTTGGTATCAAATCTAGTTTTTTTTGTTTTCTCATCTAAAAGCAGAGGCAATATTTCCAAAGGCCATTTCACTAAAAAAGAAACTAATAAATATGTTCATCTTAGGAATTAATTTTTTCCAAAATCAAGGTATTTTAGAAAATGAGGGAAGTCAATGTAAGTCGGAAAACAACAAAAATCAGTTATAATCCTGTTTATTGTGGATGTCCAAAAGATTAGAAGTACAGTGGGGGGACATAAAGAATTGCTATAGCTATGAAAATGACAAACTGTCGCATGTGTAATAAATTCTTACCTCAGTGTATTCAGTGCTCTATTTTCTCCGTCCTAGTAAGTCCAAATATAGTGGAATTTGTGTCCATAATGACAAATAGGAACTTAAAAAGTTGATTTGGATATTCACATGTTAATGCCGACTCTTCAAATGTTGAGGTGATTTTGGAGCCCGATTACGCTGCAAGGGAGGATAGGCTCCCAGAATGCAACATGACATGTGCCAGCTTTCAAAATTCTGCACCGCCATTTTGAAACCTGTCACGAGTAAATAAGGTTAACTGATGTTGCATTGTGGGAGTCAGTCCTCCTTGAATCACAAACATGGCGATTCATAAAAAACATTCGTTCGATTTGGAAGGGATTTATCCATCATTTGCAGGTATGAAGCTTTGGATTCCTTTATTGTGCTACTTAAAGTGAACGGGAATTATTTTTCTACCACTTTGGAGAGTTTGAGGCACGAAACTTAGAATTTAATCATTGTGACAACTTTTGATGGTTGAGGTTTAGTTTTGTCCCCCACTTTATCAGTGTGCATGCACATACATTTTTAGTACCCATTTTTAAGATAACTTTAGAGAGAATGTATGCAATACATTTTCACAAATACATCAGAAGAAGTCGGGAAAAGCCCCATATACGAAAGCTTTCTTTCTGTAGTGACAAATTATGATGAAGTGTTGTTCATCTTCTAAAATACCACAAATATGAATAAACACATAAATGTTCATCTACAGGTTTTGGCTTAGGCTTCAAATGACGACCAAGTTCTATATGTAACTTGTGGGAACTAGTGCTTGCTTGCCTATAATTTTTATTTTGGATATTTAAATAACTCTCTCTTTCAAAGACATTTTTGAATTTAACATATTTAAGTTCTCAAGACAGGGTAATTTAATATATCTTCCTTCCACTGAGTTTTATAATTCTGATACAGTGTTTTTGTTATGTTCTTGATAAAAATATTGCCATCATCAATCTTTTAAGTATCCCAATGAAAAAATAAATCACACTTTTTTAATATATCAATGACTTTGTTTGACCAAGTGCCTTTAAAACCAAACTGACTCATTTCCCAGCCATACATATATGCGCGCAGAACCTCTGCTTAGTATAGACTATATTCCAGTTTAGCAGCCCCGCCCCCACGACTGATGCCTGTGACAAATCGGGTCATAAATCATTTCACACCCGCGCTGACCTCAACCAATCAGCGAGCTGGAAGGAACAAGTGCTAAATGCGTGCACAATAATTACGCGATTACGTCAGAGAAAATGACCATGTAGAAAGTCGTCCTTATTTTGACGACAAACTCTGATTATGCGGTGAGTTTTATTGAAAACTGAAAGAGTGAAGACGAAGCTCTCTAGCTTTTGAGAAGCATAGTCGAGCGAATGCAAAGGGTAATAATCTACCTAACAGATACTGCAATATGTGAAGACAGATTGGTATTGCTAAAAAACTGTATTACATGAACTCAGTTATGAAACTCTGCATCAGCAGTGATGGCAATCCAGGTAGATTATAAACAATTCACTGGGTGTATATTATAAAATATTAAACTGTTTTTTTTTCTCAATATGATGATTCAACTTGTTCAATATAAATAAGTAGACTCATCATGATAAACCATGACATCTCATTTCTTCTCAGCCCTGAAACTGAAACAGAAAGATGCTATGAGTATCAGAATGAAATATACAATGCAAAAGTATCATTGCTCTCATCACAGTGCATCTTACTTAAATACATCAATTTTAAAACTACAACAATGATCTGAATTTTTATTGACACTGTATACTCATTTCATTTGTAGTATTTCTTCTGATGTTATTATTAGACATGGCCTGGAATGATTCCTTTATGTTTAGAAACATTTAGTCACTAATAGTTCTGACTTTCTATTAATGTTATGCTACACATTCAATTGCTCTAATATAACTATAATATGTTAAGTCCCAAATATAATAAACCAATTTGCCTTCATTATCACATATATTGCAGATTAATGTGCATACTGTATATTGAATTCTAGTGGTAGATTTATTATGCGTGGGAACTCTTAGTTCAAATAGAATCTAGAAAATTCAATATGAAGTATAGTTAAGTCAAATATATTATATTATATACAGGGTGGGCCAAAAAAATGCCACTTTTTTCAAGACACTATAACTTTTTATTTTCCAACCTCCAGACCCCAAACTTTGCAGTTATATAGTGCCAGGGGTTCTTAGTAATAATATAATGTAACAAGTCCTTCAACTTGGATAATATTTGATCTAAAAGAGGAGTTCAATTGATCCACCATCCTGTTTGATGATATGTTTTAGTCGCCAGATATAGCAGTATCAATAGAATGTTAGCCAATTTTTTTTCAACATGTCTTAATTGCCAGCTTTAGTTGAGCAATTCTTTTAGATTCGGTGCCTTCATACAATCTCCTTGGGACCTTCCCATATCCTATACTCACTGGGGTTTGCATCAGGGCTATTAGCTTGGCGGTCATCGGGCCATATCAGTTCAGGAACATTTTGCAAATTATGCTTATTTCTAATAGCATACCACATGTTTAAGTGAGACGCTGGTGACATATTTTATTCAAGTAAAAGTGTACAATTCATGATCCATGGCTATATAACAACTTCAAGTTTCATTTGGTATGTAAATTATGATTTTGAACCAAAAATTAAAAAGTTACTGCATTTTGAAAAAAGTGGCATTTTTTGGCCCACCCTGTATATAGTTCATTCATACATGTATGTTCAAGTCATATCTTGACTATCCTACTGTGTTGGTGAGACACTATTAACAATGTGAATTTGATCAAAGTACTTTAATTCTCATTTATGAAACTAAAATATGAGAAATATGAAACATGTTAAATACATTTATGAAACTCTTCTTGGAAGATATATACTTAAACAGAAACATTGTATACTTTGAGACCAGGGGCACTAAAAGCTTTTTACAGTCAGCTTCATCTGGAGCAAAAGTTTTTTAAACCATAGCTGGTCATACTAAATAACTTTTTCCATCATAACAATCAATTTCTTTGGAGGTATGATTTTTTCAATTTTCTGTCTATGAAAAATATGTCTTTTTCTTTAAAATTGTGCCATAATACTTTTTATTAGCTAACTTGAATGTGATCATGTGATCAATCATAAGATGATATTAGTGATGATAACAGGTTAAATCAAAGATTAGTTACTGATCAAAGAGTACAGTGACTGCCATATGCATATACATGTATTGTTACAGATTTAGTGTGGATAAGCTAATAAATATATAACCCATTTATGAGTGGCTATGAAAGACTTCATTTTGATCCATCAAGGTATTTCATATGACTCTACAGTGGTTTAACAGTATCGAAAGACTTATGGTCGCGATTTCATTTTTTTATTTGGTCATGTATTCTGTAAATACCATAATAACAATAATATAATCACCATATCAAATTATTTATACGTTTTCTTGTTAGATCACGTTTGTTAACAAATTACTGTATATTGACTTACTCATTTTTATGACTTCAGTTTAATGCCATTAAATGCCACATATAGTTTTTCAACATAATATAAATTGTTTTAATAGCTTCATGGTTGAAGACTTTCATGAAGAGTTTAAAAATTATTTAAGCAGTTCTATGAGTATAGGTTTTATACCTCATTAAATATGATATTTCTTAGCACAATATTTGTTATAAATTGAAATAAAACAAACAATAACAATATTCCCTTCAGTGTCCTGGAAATGTGATATTTTTATTGACCCTTGGTATAAATCTATATTCAATCCTCCCTAGTAAATAACCTCTATCTTTAAAGGAGTGAAATCCTCTAAAAAGCATGGATCTTTTACTCAAACTTGATTTCAGTATTTATGATCTAGTTTATTGACAAGAGACCTTTTCACTTGAGCTAAATGTTGTGGTTCTCTTATTTCTATTGATATTTTACATTGAATAGGACTAGTTCTTCAATCTGCTGTTGGATAACATTTGATTTGAATATGTCCTCATCAAATTTAGGTTCTCATAGATCCATCTTTGTATTTGTCACAAATCATTCTCTCCATATATGAAG